CGGTTTACCGGGCAGTTCTGGTGAAACTCCGACGAAACAGTTTGTCACAGCCCCTCGTTTGTTGTCCTCTTCTCTCTCTCTGCCTACGGTTTACCGGGCAGTTCTGTTTGTGACGATATATATATATCGTCACAAATATATATATATATATATATGTAGATGTAACAGTTTGTCACAGCCCCTCGTTTGTTGTCCTCTTCTCCCTCTCTGCCTACGGTTTACCGGGCAGTTCTATTTGACGATATATATACCGGGCAGCTCTGTTTGACGATATATATGTATAGTGCAGACTCTGCAGAGTATACAAGAAACAAGAAACAAGAAACAAGAAACAAGAAACAAGAAACACATACATGACTGTTATGATTCGGAAAAATAAAAATAAAAACGAAAAACAAAAGAAAGGGTACCAGCAGAGTAGGACAAACACACCCCAAGCTGAGCAAGCCAGCAACCGCCCTGTTCTATGAATGTCAGCAGGCGCATCAATACACAAATGAACAACAGCCCCAAATAAACAGTCTTGCAAATGATGACAAGCTGCTTCAGCATAATAGACTGCAGCACTTTTCTTACTTCCTCCTTCCCCTGCTACTCCCTCTTTCAACCCACTGGGCCCATCATGATTGCCCCCTTAGTTTGAATTTTGAACTGATCGTAGTCCCTCCTGATGTACCTTGGCCCAAACTTCTCTAGCAAACAAATTTATGAGTTTGAATCCTGATGGAAAATTGGAACTCGATCGATAAAATAATGTGAGGGGCCTTAGGGCCCTTAGGGCCCCACCCCTCCAGAAAATAAACCAACAAATAACTAAATCAAAATAAAAGCAAAGTGCGTAAGACTGCATGGGTGCTATCACCCCCCCTATCGATGTCCTCTTTGTATTCCGATCTGCCTTTTGGGCATCTCTCCCAAATTCCCAATCAAGCCATCGCGTTTTTGCACAGTGTGAAGACGGAAGAGAAGTGTATTGACTCCTTCCCGAAAGAGCTTTCCCCCCCCAAGTTGTATCTTTTTGGGTCAGTGATCTCATCAAAATGTAGGCTCTTCGCCTGGGTTAAGGGACTGAGGTAGTAATAGCCTAAGGGCAGTAAGACATGCAAACAACAGCTAATCTCTGTCAGTTAACTCACCACTCTCCTTTTACCGACGTTGACTGCAGTCAGTGAACGGCGGCCAGTTAACTGTTACTCTCCTTTTGCAGACGTTAACTGTGGCCAGTTAACTGCGGTCAGTAACTGGGTTCAGTTAGCTCGTCACTCTCTTTTTTGCGGTCGCAGACATTGACTGCGGCCAGTTAACTGTTACACTCCTTTTGCAGACTTTTAACTGTGGCCAGTAAAAACTGCGGTCAGTAACTGGCGTCAGTTAGCTCATCGCTCTCCTTTTGCTGTTGCAGACATTGACTGCGTCCAGTCCACTGTTACCCTCCTTTTGCAGAGATTACTGTGGCCAGTTAACTTATCACTCTCATGTCTCAGAGATTAATTGTGGTCAGTGAATACTGAACACGCCACTCTCTCTCTTCTCTTGCAGACCTTCCTTGGAATCAAGCTTATCCATATGCTATTGCATAACACGACATGACAAAAGAACAGCAGTGCTGCCAAACCATTTGTCGGACCGATTCTGTGTGTTTGTTTCACGAATCATGCGTTGGACCAGTTTCTCGAAGGGATTCTGAAGGAGAGAGTGACGAATATTGTTCGGGTGGGTCATCGCTGCAAGAATGAAGCGTTGATACCGTATAACTTGCATGAGATTCTAAAGAACGGGATTTCTATTCCAGCAAAACAATCACGAGGACTACGCCGGGAGGAATTTCGCACGATCAACACTCTAGAAATGTTGGGGACAAAAATTGGTCAGAAGTCTCGGAACAGATTTAGGCACGGGTGCATGGACTGGGCATATGTGAAGGAATATCTAAAGAACTTCCACCCAGATCAGCACCAGTCCTTGATTGGAGAATCTGACAGTGAGACTGAGACTGAGAGTGAGGAAGGTGTCGATCCAGATAAGCCGATGGCAGGAGGTGAGAGGAGTGAGCCGGAGGAAGGAGAAATAGGTGGCCGGCATCCAAACCAGCAAGATCTATCTGAAGATGACAAGTGGCATCGTTGGCTCAAAGGGTTTCCTTCTCCTCATGATAAAGGGACATTTGCACACAAGTCCAACAACCAGCAGTGCTCATTTGCCGACGAGAACCAAAGTAACATCATTGCGGTGGTTGAAAAGAGTGGGAAGTTATGGCATCATACTGGTGGTTTTAGCACGGAGAAGGTGCGAGATATGCCGAGCTTGTCAGACATGGCTATGGTAGACTGCCAATCACAAGTGCAGGCGATGGACACGGCCGGCGACGAAAATATCCCAGAGGTGGAGGTCGATAGTCTTGCCGGGGAAAGACGCTCTGAAAATGTGAGCGGTATGCAGATGGCCGTTCAAAATGCATTGCCTGTCGAGGAAGGGAAACCTGCAGCAGTTGGCATGGACACAGGGCACTTTTTTGCCTGCTCCAGCAATATTGTGATCCAGCAGACGATTGAGGAATTGGTGAATGTGAAGGATGTTTGGAGTCTAACTCATGCAGAACGAACAAGGCTTTGTGACCACTGGCTGGAGTAGATCCGCAAAGCTGATCTAAACAAACTCCAAGAGTATATGAAAAGTTATGTCAAGTAAGTATCCTGATATCAACCGCTACACAAAGTCCAAATTTTGATCGAGGTCACTAGGAAAGATCAGAATGTAACACCAGTAGCTGACTGCAGGATGCCAACCCAGCCCACTTGGCCAAGTGGTGCACAAGTATAACTGTTGCTACATTCTTCTTCTTCTTCTTCTTCTTCTTCTTCTTCTTCTTCTTCTTCTTCTTCTTCTTCTTCTTCTTCCTCTTCCTCTTCCTCTTCTTCTTCTTCTTCCTCCTCTTCCTCCTCTTCCTCGTCTCCGTCTTCGTCTTCATTCTCTTCTTCTTCTTTGTCGTCTTCTTCTTCTTCCTCCTCCTCCTCTTCCTCTTAGTCTTCGTCTCCGTCGTAGTCTTAGTCTTCTTCTTCTTCGTCTTCTTCTTAGTCTTCTTCTTCTTCGTCTTAGTCCTCGTCCTAGTCTTCGTCTTCGTCTTAGTCTTCTTCTTCTTCTTCTTCTCGCTAAGCCTTCGTCTTCGTCTTAGTCTTCTTCTTCTTCGTCATCTTCTTCTTCGTCTTCTTCTTCTCCTTCTTCCTCGTCTTAGTCCTCGTCTTAGTCCTCGTCTCAGTCCTCGTCTTAGTCCTCGTCTCCGTCTTAGTCTTCTTCTTCTTCTTCTTCTCGCTACGCCTTCGTCTTCGTCTTAGTCTTCTTCGTCTTCGTCGTCTTCTTCTTCGTCTTCGTCTTCTTCTTCTTCCTCCTCCTCCTCCTCCACCTCCCATGCGCTCTTTTTTCCCCTATGCCTTTTTCATCAAACATTTGTCCTCAAGTCCAAGACTCACTTCCGAATCACCGTGTTCGTCTCCGAACTTTTCTTCTGGACCTTTCAAAATCTCATCTGGACCTTTCAAAATCTCATCTCACTCCCAATGAGCCTCCTCCCTCACCTCTGCCAAACTTCCTCTCCATCCTTTCTCCACACCCGCCCTTCCGGCACCTTTTCCAATTCAAACCTTCTCTTCATCTTTGAACCTCCTGCCTGACCTGCCTTCAGACCTCCCACGAGACTTCCCGCCAGACCTACCTACCAGCGTCTCTCACAACCTCTCACTCAGCCTTCCCCGCTCTCCGTCCCAACCTCCCATCTGATATCCCAATGACCTGCTGTTGCTCATATCAACTTTGTGAACTATGCCTTCTCCCTTCTGAACCTCCCTCCATCAATTTTTGGAAACTCTTAGCGAAAGTGTTCCCTTGCCGCCTCTCCTCAGACACTTTTCAACCCTCCGCCCTTTCCTGCAAACCTTCGCCCTGTGCTCTCTGAATGCCCGCTTCGGGTAAAAATAGTCACCAACTCTCTCTCTCTCTCTCTCTCTCTCTCTCTCTCTCTCTCTCTCTCTCTCTCTCTC